TCCCAGAGTACCCGGCGCTGGGAGACCTCCAGATGTGATAGATCTGATAGTCTCGACCTGCTGCCTGGGTCCTCCTTCGCGTGGCTGTGCTGCCAGGATTGCGACGCCGCATGGGCCGCCGCGGCTCCCGCGAAGTGGGGTGTCGACCCTGGCGTGGCCAAGGGGTGTCGCCTTGGTCCACGCTGTTGGCACTGCGGCTGGCTGCTCGAGTAGCTCTCCCACTCTTGTTGCAGCCTCACCCCGTCGCGGTGCTGGTTGCCTGCCTGGACCCAGCTGGCAGTGGGGATCGCGGCCTGAGGGAGTCGCTCAGGTCCGCGCTTGGAGCGCTCAAACTTGGTGTCGCCGTTCTGTGGGTGGTCCCCACCCTTGCCCACAGTTGCGACGTCTAGGGAGCTAGTAATGCAGGTGGTTCGTCTGCTGCGTCTTTTGAGTCGGGGCTCCCTAGTAGAGCGTTGGTGGTTTGAAGCGGATGCGGCATCCCCCAGGCTCGCATCGGCTTGGACGTAACTATGTAGTGTGATGGAAGCTAGGTGCGATCGTGTGCGTGCGGCCAGGGGCCGTGGGTGGGGGTCGTTGGGCGTAGGCTCGTCACCGCACGGGTCTCTGAGTCTGGGCCCAATATCCCCGATGTCTTCTGGTGTGGCTGTCTGGACGCAGGTCTGGGCCAGTTGCCCCCCAGCCTGCGTGCTCCAACTCAGTTTTTTGACAGTCGACCCCCGTCGAGGTCGCTCTCGCCGCTCTCGATGAAGGATGCCACCCTGTCGCCTGGGTCCGCGAAGCCATCGTCCGCGTCGCAGATCCTGACCTTTTTCGGCTGGCTCCTCGCCCTCCTGGGCCCCCTTGGCTGCTTCAGGTTACCTCTGCATGGTGGTGCCGAGCTCGTCCTCTCTGGCGTGCCCAAGTGGAATCGCGGTGGTGGCAGCCGTGGCTCGTGCGGCTCGGTGGGCGTGATGTCCTCAATCGGCATCCGTGGAGGTGTGCTGGGGCAAGCCTCCTCGTCGCGGCTGAGGTCGATGAACAGCGTCGTCATGGGGGTTTTGGCTGGCTGTGATCGCTGTTGTGGGGTCTTGTTTGGCGTGAGAGGCGTGACGGGCGGAAAAAGTATGTGTCTTGGCGTGGGCTGTTCTGTCGGGATGGGTGAGTCGGCTGGTATCGTTGGTGAGAGTGAGGCGAGGTCTGTCGGGGCTTCGTCCTCCTTCTCCTTGCGCAGGCCTTGGCGGATCTTCGTCTCTTCGTCCTGCAGGTCGGCGTCGTCGGATTCGCCAATTGGGATGCAGTCGCTGCTCGCCCGTACGTCGAGCAGCCCTGAGTGCGAGAATGAGCCGACGCTGTTGTGCTCCTCGATGTGCGGGCGCTGCTGAGGTGGTGGTGGAGGTAGCGGACACTCTTCGGCGGATGTCCTCGGCACGAAGCTTTGGTCCTGGAAGCTGAGGTCGTCGCACGACGAGAGGGTAGGCTCCTCTGGCGTTGGCATCGACGATGTGTGGGACCTCTCTCCAAATCCCACCTCGGCCAGCTCCTCGAGGTACGGCGGTAGTTCTGGGTGTGGAAGTTCGTACTGGCTAGGTAGTAGCCGAAGTAAGTCTGCCTCCAGTTGCTCCCTCTGGTACGCGCCCTCCTGCTCCGCCATGCCTTGGTCGCGCTCACTCGTGACTGGGTCTTCCATGAGGTCGTCCGTCATGTCGATTAGCAGGTCCTCGTCCACTTGTCCTCCTGCTCCCCAGGCGTCCCGTAGTGCGTTCTGGAGTCCTGCCGTTTGCAAATCATGTGCGCGTTGGAGGTCTTGTAGTTGCTGCTGCCTCTGTGCGTCGCTCATATACTGGTTGTGGGCGTAGTGCTGCGCCACGGCCTGCATCTCCTGCTGGTGCTGGTGCTGCAGAGTGCTGTGGTACTGCTGCGCCACTTGGTTCTCCACCTCCTGCTGATGCTGTAGTGCCTGGAGCTCGCTTGTGGCCGCTGCTTGTCGCTGCAGTGCCACCTCCTCCATCCTTTGGGCTTTGTCCACCGCCTCCTGGTGCTCCCCGACGCGCTCCAGGTACTTTTCCTGCTCGTGTTGCATCTCGTATGCCTTCGCCTGGATGGCTGCGTGCTCCAGGTTCAGGACGACCCGCATCGCTTCGCGCCTGTTGGCTTCTTCCTGGTGCTCGTAGGCCATCTGCTGGTAGTTCACTGCGATCCGCAGCTCCTCATCCTTGTAAGCGCTGCGACGGGCGCATCGCTCCTGGTACTCCGCCTCCGCCATCTCCTGCGTCGCCTTTTCGTTGTGCTCCTGCGCCATCTTGCACCACTGGGCCTCCTGAGCCGCCATCTGTCTCACAGCTTGCTCTTCCTGTCTGGCCTTCTGGACCTGCTGCGTGTAGATGGCTGCTCTTATCTGGTCTTCCTTGTGCATCTCCTCGCGTAGTGTCTTCTTTTCCAACTCAATATGCATTTGCAAGTCCACGAGCATCCCTTTGGCCCTTTCCTCCTGTGTCCTCTGGGTGCCTCTTTGTGCTTCGTATGCTTTCGCTTCCTCCTCCTCTAGCTTGGCGTTGTGGTGCCGCTTGAGCGCGTTAACCTCCCATGTGTGCCACTCCTCCTGCTTGGCCAGCTGCACTTCGGTCGTGTGGTTCATCTTTTGCGCCATGGTCTGCTCGTAGGCCTTCAGCTCGCTTTTGTGCTTGAGCTCTGCTTGTGCGAGCAGGTCGCTTTGCTGCTGTTCCTTTTTCTGCTGCGAGTCGGGCCTCTCGGTCAGTCTCCTGATGGCGTCTTTGATCTCGTCTGGTGCTGCTGGGGCTGGCCGTGGCTGCTGAGCTGCTGAGGCTGGCTGAGCTGTGGCTGGCTGGGCTGTGGCTGGTGCCGCTGGAGCTGCAGTTGGATCGCGCCTCCTCCTCGCGGCCGGGTGTGGCGTGCGTCCTCTGGTGGGGTCATGGCTCCCCTCTTCCTCTGACGATTCCTCCTTTACGCCCGCCGACTTTGCCATTTGATCTCTGGTTTCCCTCATCAGGGTCTTGTAGACCCTGATGGTTCTGGCGGCCGTCGCCTCCTGGTCGAGCATCTTGCTGAGCCGCTTCTCCATCTCGGCATGCTCCTCCTCCAGCTTTTCCAGCGTAGCCCTGAGCTGCTTCATGCGCTCTTTGTGGGGCAGGACGAAGGAGATTTTCGTGGCGGTGATCGCCGCTTCCTGCTCGAGGCTGGTTGTGCACAAGCCCGCCAGCCTAGCGCCAGCGATGTTCTCGGAGAGGCGACCCAGCCTGTGGCACTTCGTCTTGTACCACACGAACCTCATCTCCTCGTCATCTGGTGGTGCGGACCAGCTCTCGTGCTCCATCGCGACGGCGAAGGAGACTGGCGTGATGCTGTCCAGGACTGCCTTCTGCTGGGGGCTGTACTGGAAGCTGCCGATGTAGGCTGAGGCAGGAGTGTCGAGCTGGTCCCTTCTTTTGCGCCTGCTGCTTCTCCTTCTGGCTGAGGCGCTCCTCCATGGTGCACTGTGCTTCCAGTGCTGGTCGCTGTCGCTTCGCTGCTGGTGCTGTGGGTGCTTTTGCTGGTGCTGGTGTTGGGCTGGCTGGTGGTGGTGCTTGTGGGTCTGAGGCTGCTGCTGCTGCTGCTGGCTGTGCTGCCGCCTCTGTGCATTGTGCTGCTGGTATCCGTTGCGCTGGCGCTGGTGGTGCTGGCTGTCATCGCGGGCCCACTCCCAGGGTCGCCCTCCGATGGCACCGATGTCTCCTGACCAGTCTCTGGCGCTGCTGCTGCGCCTGCGCTGGTGCTGCTGCTGCGCCTTCGTCGTCATCTCGCTGCTGCTGCGGCTGCGCTGGTGCTGCTGCTGGCGCTGGGGCTGCTGCGCTGAGTGGTGGCTGTTGAGGACGTTGGCCGCCTCCACCACGCGCAGCAGGGCCCTCGCCGAGGAGCGGCGTGCCCTCTCCCGCCTGTGCCAGGCGGGCTCCAGAGGCGTCTGGCCCCACGTGGCGCGCCAGCGGGCGCGCAGCCAGGCGCAGGGTCGCGGCTGCGGCGTCGGCTATCGCCGACCCGCCGCGGCGCGCGAGCCCGGCCCCGCGGGCGGCCGATCACGATTGGCGTGAGTCGATCGGCGCGATCGAACGATCAGGCCGAACGGATGATCGTTCACGGCCCCGGCCCGCCAGAGGCCAGATGGGCTTTGCCCTTGCACTCCTCCTCCTCCTCCTCCTCCTCCTCCTCCTCCTCCTCCTCCTCCTCCTCCTTGCGCCGACACTGGCGCGCAGGCTGCCCGCGCGAGGTCGCGCGTGGGCGCCCTCGGTCTCCAATGTTAGCGCGCCGCGCCTGCGGCCCACGTGGGCCGCGGCGTACGGTCGCGATGCCATCTCTCGCGCAGGACCCGTGTCTGATCGACGAAGACGACGACGAACACGACGACGAAGACAACTACGACGACGACGACCACGACGACGACGACGACGACGACGACGACGACGACGACGACGACGACGACGACGACGACGACGGCGACGGCATGCGCCTACATCTTACTATGAACATGTTGGGGGAGGCTTCGTAGCCCCCAGATCCCTTGCCTTTGCAAGGCCCCCTTCGAAGTCGAGGTGGAACCTTGGCACACCAAGCGGAGTCAGGGGGAGGTGCGGCGGATTCCCGGCTCCGCCAGTTCCCGAGACTCCCATCAGGGTTGATTTAACGCACCGTTGGCACATCACATAAGACGTCGGCCCGCCAGCAGTCGAAGATGAGCACACTGCGTGAAATACATGTTCGGAGGTCCGCGCGGATTTTGTTGGGATCTGCGCTGGGCCCCCCGCGCGCCGGGGGGGAAGTTCATCATTATGCAGTTGCTCGTTCGTCTAGGCAGGTGCGCCATGGACATTTCTTGGCCCCCCATGGCCCATGGGACCCACGTAAGCTCTGGGGCTTAAGGCCTTCAAGTCTCGACGAAGGATGTGCCCCAGTGCGTCATTATCTCAAAACGTCTTATCTTGTGTGTCTACTGCGTCCGTTCACCTGCCACTTTGATCAGCCATGCTCGCAAGGTGTTCGTCGACCTGTCCGGCCTCGTGCCCAAGGCCAGCGACCCCTGCGGCTGTTGCGCGACCTTCTTTTGGGCAGTTCGTACAGAGGTGAAGGTTGGCCCAGGCGATCCTTAGCACGTGCGGTTTTATGCTTGCAGGCTAGATGCTGCAAGGATCACGTGACTTGCTATCGTTTTCACGTCATGTGGATGGGCCGTGTCTTGCGGACCCGAGAACGTGCGCCGCGCATCTCAATGAGGGCAGGTCGTACAGTGGGCGAGGTAGCATGCGGCGTTTCATCCTGCCAGTGCACTTGCGCAAACGTCTGGACCCAGGATGCTCGAACCAAGCTCGGCGGTACAGCGACCACCTCTGGGTCAGAAAGGTCCCCACAACACAGCCAGCAAGTTTTGAAGAGCGCATATGGAAGGACCTCAGCCCCTGTGCGTGTCTCTCTCTCTCTCTCACGCGGCTGTTTTGATCGGTGGCCCTCACCAGCCTGGTGTCTACTCGTCGCGACCTGGGATTATCTGGCCAGTGTCTGGCCACACTCAGGAGGGAGAAAAACGCAGACACAATGAAACCTCGATCCCCCAGAAAATGTGCGAAAATCTGGGAAGTGGGGTGGAAGACAGAAACCCAGAAAATACAGGAAAATATGGGGAATCTTGTTATTTGTGTGTATTTGTTTGTGTGTCCTGCGGCCCCTTCACACATGTCCGATCGCGGTCGAACATGCGGTCTGGTGGAAGAGGGCCTATGCTCCGACGCCACCTGATGCCCTCCCTCCGAGTCCCTCCCTGCAGAAGGACGGGTGCGGGCAGTTGTTGCACGGCGGTGCCTCCCTCCCCCACATGTGGCCAACGCCACTTGGAGGGGGGAGGGAGGGGGGGCGGAACACACAGACGCACACACAGACACACACTCACCCACACACACCCACACACACACACACACACACACACACACACGCACGCACGCACACACACACACACACACACATACACACACACACACACACACGCGCACGCACGCACGCACGCACGCACGCACGCACGCACGCACGCACGCACGCACGCACGCACGCACATTTTTTTTTAAGCCGGCAGAGCGGGGCACGCTCGAGCATTGCAATCTCCACCGGACGTTTCAGGCGGTGGGCTGCGCTAGGCAAGCCGGCGTGCAAGAACACCGCTTCAGAGGGTCGCGGCGAGAACACATTCATACACAAATACACACATACACACATACACACCTACACACCTACACACATACACACATACACAGACAGGCAGACTCTCTCTCGGGCTCCCACGTCGCTGGGGCGCCCCCCAGATACGCCTCGATGGCGTGCCCCAGCCGCGCCTGGGGGACGAGGGCCATGAAGCGGAACACCGCGGGTCCAACATTCTCGTGTGGTGAAACGGCCCTGCTGTATCGGGGGCCCCAGCCGGATTGCACCAGTGCGATCGCGGGGGCTTCAGAAAATTGCACGCGCCTGGTCGCGGGTCGCAGACCACGAGCCAGGCACGCCAGGGGAGCGAGAGAGAGGGAGAGGGAGAGGGAGAGGGAGAGGGAGAGGAATAAGAAGAAGGAGAAGAAGAAGAAGAACAGCGCCTAGCGAAGGCAAGCGAGCCGAAGCAGAGCAGCAGTGCGCCCAAACTGAAACAAACCGCGTGCTACTGAACGCCTGCAATCCTCGGGCTGCTACCCGGGGATTCGCGGTTCATCCCAAACCTCCTCGGCCCCAGGACAGACAGACAGACAGACAGGCAGGCAGGCAGGCAGGCAGGCAGCCAGACAGACACACACGCACATACACACATACACACAAACACACATTCACACACATACACGCTTAAGCATAAGATGGCGCGCGAAGTTCGCGGAGCGGACCAGGGAGGCCAGAAAGGGGGACGGAGAGGACGAGGAAAGGTGGACGACGACGACGACGAAGGCGACACCAACGACGACGACGACGACGACGACGACGACGACGACGACGACGACGGGTGCACGACGCAGAGGGAGGGGGTTGGGCCTCGCGAGCTGCGGGGGGCGGTAACACATGGGGGAGGGCTGCGGAAAAGGGGGCCCTTTCAGGGCCCCTAGATGGGCCTTTCAGGGCGCTGAAGGGGGGCGCCCTGTGGGGCCCTAAAAGTGCACCTGCCCCCGCCCCCCCCACTCACTGATCGCCCCCCCCAATGAGGCGACGCCCAAGGGCGGGTCGTCGCAGTCGTCGTCGTCGTCGTCGTCGTCGTCCGTCGTCGTCGTCGTCACGTCGTCGTCGTCGTCGTCGTCGTCGTCGTCGTCGATCGTCGTCGTCGTCGTCGTCGTCGTCGTCGTCGTCGTCGTCGTCGTCGTCGGTCGTCGTCGTCGTCGTCGTCGTCATCGTCGTTGACGCCGCCCGAGGGGCTCCCCAGAAGTCGGCCCTGGGCCTCTGAGGTCCCAGGATGCGCGGGGAGAGGGAGCGCAGCCCCTGGCCGCAGCGGCCCCCTGGCGCCTGCCTCGGGAGGGGGGTGCTCCTCCTCCTCCTCCTCCTCCTCCTCCTCCTCCTCCTCCTCCTCCTCCTCCTCCTCCTCCTCCTCCTCCTCCTCCTCCTCCTCCTCTATCATTCACTCATTCATCCCTCCTCCTCCTCCTCCTCCTCTTCCTCCTCCTCCTCCTCCTCCTCCTCCTCCTCCTCCTCCTCCTATTCATTCATTCTCATTCATGTATCCTCCTTCTCCTCCTCCCTCTCCTCCTCCTCATTCATTTGCTCGTTCGTTCCTTCGTTCATTCCTGCATTGGGGGCGAGACGATTCAAGCCCGAACTAGGAAAAGGAAGCGAGATGAAAAGGGCTAGAGCGCGCGCACCGTAGAGCAACGATGCCAGGATAACTTCACACCGCTGCAGCCTGCCCGAGCCAGGGCGCCTACCCCCCACGGCCCGTCCGTGGCACGAGGCAACCCGGGGGGGGAACCCCCCCCTCCTCCTCCTCCTCCTCCTCCTCCTCCTCCTCCTCCTCCTCCTCCTCCTCCTCCTCCTCCTCCTCCTCCTCCTCCTCCCAGGCCACAGTGGCGAGGTCTTCTCTTCCCAGGCCACGGTGGCCCAGCGGACCCCGTTCTGGAGGCTGCCGCCAGCCGTGTGCGGCGCGATCCGGCGCGGCGCACGGTGCCTGGCGCTCTCTCCGTGCGTGGTGTTAGCGGCCTCGGACGCTGGCGCTCAGGACACTCCAGGGCACTTTTCCTCTTCCTCCTCCTCCTCTTCCTCCTCCTCCTCCTCCTCCTCTTCCTCCTCCTCTTCCTCATTCTCCTCCTCCTCCTCCTCCTCCCTCTTCCTCCTCGTCCTATTCCTCCTCCTTCCTCCTCAGGACACTCCAGGGCACTCTTCCTCTTCCTCTTCCAGCCAGCTGCACTGATGCGTGACCAGATGAGTTCGCACTGACTAGGGGACCCGCGTGATCACTGCACGCGCTGGTCGTGCAGGTTGCCTCACGTCCGCTGCAGATGTGGTTTGGCTGCCTGTCCTTGGTCATCCTGCTCCCTCGGCGTGTCCAATCCATCCCTCCCGTCCCCTGACTTCGGATCCGCCCTACTTGGGTCGATTCCCAGATTAAAAAATGTGCCCGAAACGCACCCCGATAGATGCGAGCAAGTAGGGCGTAAATTCCCGCCTCAGGAGAAAGTACGGCGAAAGTTCCGCATACGTGAAGCAAAGCGGCCGCAGCGACGACAGAGCAGGGCGGAGGTCGACAGCAGAGGAGCGTTTTGGGGAGGAGGAGGTCGGAAACGCCCGCCCGACGCGCGAAGTCGGCCGAGGGTGCGGCGGAGCCGAAGTCAGGACCCCCCCCTCCGAAGTCGGGCCCTCCTCCTCCTCCGTCCTCCGTCCTCCTCCTCCCTCCTCCCTCCTCCCTCCTCCCTCCTCCCTCCTCCCTCCTCCGTCCTCCCCCTCCTCCTCCTCCTCCTCCCTCCTCCTCCCCTCCTCCTCCTCCTCCTCCTCCCCTCCTCTCCTCCCTCCTCCTCCTCCTCCTCCTCCTCCTCCTCTCCTCCTTCCTCCTCCTCCTTCCTCCTCCTCCTCCTCCCTCCTCCTCCTCTCCTCCCTCCTCTCCTCCCTCCCTCCTCTCCTCCCTCCTCCCTCCTCCCTCCTCCTCTCCTCCTCGTCGTCCTCCTCTTCCTTCCTCCTCCTTCCTCCTCCTTCCTCCTCCTCGTCGTCCTCCTCCTTCCTCCTCCTCCGTCCTCCTCCTCCTCCTCCTCCTCCTCCTCCTTCCTCCTCCTCGTCGTCCTCCTCCTCCTCCTCCTGCTCCTCCTCCTGCATCCGTCTCTCATCGAGGAGTTCCGCGCCCACTTGGCCTCGATACACGCCCCGTGGCGAGACTTCAAGAGCGAGGCGACGGCAAAGTTTGTTGGCGTCTTCATGGGGCCTGGGGCTACGCGCGAGATTCCATGGCTTGGCCCCAGTCTGAACATGGTGGGAGCGTTCACAGTTACTGGGGACCGAAGTTTGTTGGCGTCTTCATGGGGCCTGGGGCTACGCGCGAGATTCCATGGCTTGGCCCCAGTCTGAGCATGGTGGGAGCGTTCACAGTTACTGGGGACCGAAGTTTGTTGGCGTCTTCATAGGGCCTGGGGCTACGCGCGGGATTCCATGGCTTGGCCCCAGTCTGAACATGGTGGGAGCGTTCACAGTTACTGGGGACCGAATTTTATTGGCGTCTTCACAGGGCCTGGGGCTACGCGCGAGATTCCATGGCTTGGCCCCAGTCTGAACATGGTGGGTGCGTTCACAGTTACTGGGGACCGAAGTTTGTTGGCGTCTTCACAGGGCCTGGGGCTACGCGCGGGATTCCATGGCTTGGCCCCAGTCTGAACATGGTGGGAGCGTTCACAGTTACGGGGGACCGAAGTTTGTTGGCGTCTTCATAGGGCCTGGGGCTACGCGCGAGATTTCATGGCTTGGCCCCAGTCTGAACATGGTGGGAGCGTTCACAGTTACGAAGGATTGCAAACAAAAAAACGAAGGATTGCAACACAAAACAGGACTGCAAAATATTGCAAAAAAACCCAGGATTGCAAAACAGCCTAGGATTGCAAAACAAAAACAGGATTGCAAAACAACCTAGGTTTTTTTGCAATCCAGGGTTTCTTTTGCAATCCAGGGTTTTTGCAATCCTTGGGACCTCTCGCGCGCCTCTGCAGGTGGGCATGCAGATTTGCAGTACCGCGGCGATCACCACGCTGAGCTGCGTGGGCCAGGTGCTCCCCCCGTCGTGCAAGAGACTGGAGCGCGAGATCCTCCTCCTCCTTCTCCTCCTCCTCCTCCTCCTCCGTAGCCATTTTGGCTCAAGGCTCATGCTTTTGCGGGCTGAGCCCGTATTGGCATTCACGGATACCGCTAGTCCGCGGCAGTGCCAGAGCGCTTGCGCTCGACAGCTTTTCGCCTGCACCGAGGGGTTGGGCTCCCTCATCAGTTTTGACGCCACGGCCAGGCAGCCCTCAGGCCCGTGGCTCCCGCCGCTCGCCCCTGCGACATCGACGCCGCTATGGCCCCGACGCGCAAGGAGAATGCTTCGCCATGGTATTGCAAGTGGTGCAGGCACGACGTCACGAATCAGCCGTGGTTCAATGCCTCTACCCTTGTCTACTGTAAGAAGTGCGGCCTGCACAAGAGCAGCTGTTTCAAGGAAAACAAAGCAGCGTCGCAGCCCAGTGTCTCGGCCAAGCAGCAGTCGCTCGCGGCCAAGGTCAAGGAGCTCGAGGCGCAGCTCACCAAGCTCCGTGAGCATCCCCCTGGGCATGGGTCAGCGACTACGGGTACAGGTGCGAGCCCACCATGGGCTGCTGCGCCAGGGGATGCCGACACCGCCAAGAGGAATCGGATCAAGATGCTGGATCAGTTGCTTCGTGTCACTACTGACCCTGCTGATGATGATACTGTGGCCAAATGGCGTGAGGAGCGGGCTAGGTTGGACGCCGAGCTCTTTCAAGATAGGCCCATCGAGCACCAGGCCAGGTCTTTGGCGTCACGGCTGTCCTCCGCCCGTTCGCGACAGGCTACCATCCAGGCCACTCGCGACGAGCAGCAGAGGGAGATCGACGAGCCCACCCGCGGCCTGGCCGACACGGACTCCAAGCTGCAGGAGGCCGCTGCGGAGGTCCTCCGCCTGGAGCAGCAGACCCGCACCGCCATGTCGCGTGTCCAGCCGCCCGAGGGCGCGCAGCCACCGACGCTTGCGGACCTGCTGCCCACCTTCGCGGTCAGCGTGGAGCAGCTGGGCAAGGTTGCATCAGGCCTCGGTCTCGGCGCCGACATGGTCAAGGAGCTGCAAGCTATGGCCGACACGGTCAGCAAGCTGCTGAGTTTGCCGCAGGCCAAGCCGCCTGAACCTGCACCTGCCCATGATGATGGTGATGAAGCTAGTGCTGAGCCACCTGACATCGAGATGTCTGAGCAGGAGTACCGTGAGACGCTGGGTGCAGCAGGGGTCCACGTCGAAGAGAGCGGCACCCCCGACATCGTGCGCGAGAAGTTCAAGCGTCTTCAGCAGAGCTACTTGGACACTGTGGCCAAGAAGGCCAAGACGTCTGCGTGAACGTGCTCGGCCTGATATGCTGTTGCTTTGGCTCTTTGTCACCATGGCTAGCTCTACATCAGCGCAACATGTTGAGAGTGCGCCTCAGTCATCTTCGACGGCGGCGAGCATCTCGGGCAGGGGGGAGAGGGATTCAGCCCCTCATCGTCACACCTCCCTGCCCACAACGGCGTCCAGTTCCATGACCTCGGCTCGGACGACGGCGCCTACATTATTTCCCCCACTGGCCCGCTCCTCGGGGTGGGGGACAGCTCCGACCTTGACTGCGGCTCCGCCTACGTCGGTTGCGCCTGCAGCTGGGTCTTTGGCGTCCGCGGCACCACAGAGGGCTACTCCGCCTGCGCCTACGCGGTTGGCCCCTGGCAGCACGCACTGCTCACCGACCCTACCTTCGGGGAGCGGCGGCAGAGGGCACCGACCGTCTTCGGACGGCACGCACCGCTCACCGCCCTTGCCCTCGGAGAATCCAGGCGGCAGAGGGTGCCGACTGCCAGGGGCGTCCTCGGGCCAGAGCGGCCCAGCGTGTACTACCTTGGATGGCGATCATGACTTCTTTCAGGACATTGAGCCTGACATGGAAGCAGATCTGTGTGAAGGCGCATTTCAAGATGCGCCATCTTCGTCCCCACCTTCTTCCCGATTACGCTTCGAGAAATCAAGTCAAGAACGCGCTGCACCTACCTCGCCTTTGCCGCCAGAGCGCACGGAGGCGAATGTGCAGCCAATGCATGCAGTATCTCAGCCGCAGCTCAAAGGCCTCATCACAACGGTGAACGCTACGAGCTACGGCCCTCTCTTTGACTGTTTGGCTACTTATCGGGGAACTATCTTGCTTGCACAGGAGTTGAGGATTACCGAATCTAGGCTTGGCGAGTTTCAGGCCAGGGCCTCGGACGCTGGATGGCATGGGCTATGGGCCCCGTCGCCCTCTACGGGTGACTCAGCTACGTCCAACTTCGGAGGGGTCGCTGTACTCGTGCCGACGTACATCATGGTCACAGCCCCACCTGACGACGGGCACATTATCTATCCAGGACGAGCAGTCTGTGCACAGATTAGCTGGGGAGTGGCTGGCGGTATCATAGTCGCCAGTGTTTATCTTGTCACGTCCATTGGCATATCGGGCGAAAACATTGAGGTGTTGTGGGCCTTGGCACAGAGAGTGGCAGCATGGAACTCACGGGGCCCCGACTGGATCCTAGGCGGCGACTGGAACACCGACATCGATGCGCTAAATGTTCGCAATTGGGTCGGGACCATGGCGGCCATCCACTATGTGCCCGACCAGCACACCTGCATCACCGATGAGGGCAAGAGCACCATATACTATTTTGTTGTCTGTGCCAACTTAGCGTCTCGCATCAAGGGCAAGCCAGAGGTCCAGTATGACTCCACGGTCGTGCCGCCGCCGCACTTCCCTGTGGAGCTGCAGCTCGTGGGCGAGGATCGCCCCACGTGGTGCCGTGTCCCTGTGGAGCCGCGTCCTTTTGCGGTGGTGCCGCCAGTTGGCTGTGCCAGACATCCCTACCCGTGGCATATGCTCCAGACAGAGTTCCAACGGGTCAGCAGTGTCGATGACCTGAGCTCGCTCTGGGACTCTGTGCTGCGGGGAGTGGACTACGAGCTGGCAGGGCGTTACGACTGCGTGGGCGCTAAGGCCATGCAGTACATCGGGCGCGAGGGGCCGCCGCAGTTCAAGTGGCAGCACCTGTCATGGCAGCCGCCGCGCAGGCGTACCTACAAGGAGCCGACTGTGCTGGCCTGGGCCACGGCGAAGCGATGGGCCCAGCACCTTGTGGCCGAGAAGAAGCGGCTGGTGAGGTACATCGAGCGCCTCAAGCTGTGTGCTGCCGTTTGCGCCATCACGCCGCTGCAGTACACCAAGGTCGTCGTGGCTTTCAATGAAGTGGCTGCCTTTTATGGACGTGTGGCTCGGTCAGTGCATGTGCTGTGTGTTTTGGATACTGCCTTCGCATGTTTCTTTCGGCGAGGGCTGGCTGGCTTGGTCGAGGCTGACTTTGAGGACGTAGCCAATGCCATCATTGCCAGAGCTGACTATCATTTGAGAACGGCACAAAGAGCGTCGGAGAGGGCTTGGCGGCAGTGGGCCAACGAAGCCTTCTTGGGAGGAGCATCTCGTGCGCATTCGTCCTCCAAGGTTCGGGCTCGACAGGAGGTGCTCGCCTACTCCCCTGACGCTCAGCCATACCAGATGGCTGACCGTACCCTCGACAAGTGGAGGGACGTTTGGACTTACCACGGTGCATGCCCTCTGCCGCTGCCTGTCGATCATGCTCAGTGGGTTTTGCTTCCGCCTTTGTCTGCATCGCAGGTGCGTGGAGCCGCCAGGAGTTTTCCTTTGAAGACGGCCTCGGGCCAGACGAGGATTGCCCCACGCACGCTCGATGTGCTGTCCGACCAGGCCTTGCAGAGCCTGGCTGACATGTTCATGCTGTTTGAGAGTTGGCTGGCCTGGCCCGCGGACAGGCTCTACAGCGAGCTTGTTCGCCTGCCCAAGCCTGACGGGGACACTAGGTTGATCGTCCTCAGCAATACTTTCGTCAGGTTGTGGGGAAAGCTTCGTCGGCCGCTTTCAGCGGAGTGGCAAGAGGCTCACAGTTGCGAGCATATGTGGGGGTCCAGGGCTGGGCAGGCTTCGGCCGATTCAGCCTTCGACCACAACCTGAGCCAGGAGATAGGAGAACTTTTAGGTGAGCACACATGCACCATTCTCTTGGACATGACCAAGTGCTTCGATATGGTCAGTCACAGTGCACTTCTCCGAGAAGCCAGAGAGCTCGGGTACCCGCTGAGGCTCCTGTGGTTGCTCCTGGGCTCCTACCGCCAGCCGAGAAGGATCAAGTGTTTTGGGTCCGTATCCAGGCCCTTGGTGGCCCATCAGGGTATTCTTGCGGGCTGCACGCACGCCACGTACCTTTTATACCTCCTCACGTACCGAGCGGTCCAGCGCACGGCCAGTATTGCACCTACTATCAAGCCACGCACGCTCATGGACGATGTGGGCCTGCAGTACGTGTCGCCCATATTGAGGGAGGTGTCCAACCTGGCCCGAGCGGCCAAGGCGTTCACGTCGGATGCAGGAGATCTCGGGATGGTCATGGAGCCGCCGAAGTCTGGATGTATCCCTGGGACCCAAAAGGTTTGGGGGCAGCTCAAGAGGCACCTGGGAACCTTGAAGATCCCGTACAGGGCCCACATGAGGAATCTGGGACACGAGCTCACAGGACCTCGAGTTCTTCGGCATATGGAGAAGCGTAGGCTGGTGCAGTTTCGTGAGCGCAAGCATCGTTTTCGCATGTTGAAGTCCGCCGTGGGGCGGAGTGCCACCAGCCTGTGGCGCACGGGCGCCCTTCCATCAGTGGCGCATGGCGGTGCAGTTGCTGGAGTTAGTGACAGCGCCCTTCGTGAGTTGCGACATTGTGCTGCGGTCCTAAATGGTGCTCCAGGCAAGACGATGGTTGGGGTAACAGCGTATCTTATATCTCATCGGGATGAATGTTATGACCCCATATATAACGCCACCACGGACATTGTGCTCAAATACGCCTCCTGGATCTGGGACGGGCGAGTGCAACCTAGCCTTCGGGAGGCTTGGGTACGTCTGGGTGCTAAGTTTGAGAGTTCACCTTCCTGGGCCAAGGCGCGTGGGCCCCTCGGGGCCACTTGGCTTACTTTGAGGCGCATCTCCTGGACTATGTCGTCAGAGCACATCCTGGTCGACGATTTGGGAAATAGTTTTGATTTATATCGTATATGTCCAGCAGACCTGCGAGTGTTCCTGCATCAAGGCATCCAGCGCTGGCAGCACCATAGGTTGCAGCAGCATTTTTACACCGAGCAGGCGGAGGTGTGGCATCGTGCGCTACGCCACTCGCTCGCCAAGATAAAGTGTCACAGACGCCTCGGAGCGCTGCAGGCTTTGTGGGCTGACAATCTTCCCATCCCACCGCGTCGGGACATGAAGCACGGGAGGCCCATTAGGCCTTGTCAGGCCTGTGGCAAGGCTATCGACTCCTGTTGGGGTCATATATTTTACGACTGCCCGCCGCTCCTCGAAGGGGACCCCGACCAGGAGTATTATGAGTTTTCAGAACAGCTTCAGGAGGTTCGTGGCATGCTTCAGGCGTCTGGGCAGCTGCTGGGGTGCACCGACTGGGACCAGAGATACCTGATCTATGGGGTTCCTGAGCCTGTTGCTGTACCGCACTACACTACGGTCTCCAATCAGGTTTTTGAGTGGGGAGATGTCTCGGGCCCCTGGGGGCCTACGTCATATACTGATGGTTCGGGGTTCTCGGCCAGCATTCCTGAAGTACGTAGGTGTGGTTGGTCGGTCTGCCAGTTGGACCCCGTCACGTGGCTCCCTGCCAGAGCTGTATATGGGCCCTTGCCCTACTATGTGCAGACGGTAGGCCGTGCTGAGCGCTATGCCATCAAGATGGGACTTCAGAAGCATCCAGGGCATGAGGTTTTCATTTCGGATCTGAAATCGCTCGTGGAGGAGGGCGCGTCCTGGGACCAGAGGCTCGAGTTTGGCAAAGCGAAGCACGCCCGAGTCTGGAGAGACATTTTTTCGGCTGCCAGAGCACGCGATCCACGTCTGCCACCAGTGCGGTTTCAGTGGGCTCCAGCTCACAGGAAGCTGGAGGACATCATCGAGTCGGCCACGCCAGACGAGCTGGAGGCCTTCGTCGGCAATGCCTGGGCCGACTTCTTCGCGAAGTGCGGCAGTGCTGCACATATGGTGTCTAAAACAATGGCTGACAGTTTAGCCGCTGCGCTGAAGCAGCACAAGCAGGTCTTGCACTATGTGTCTTGGGCGGCCTTCCAGGTTGTTCAGTTTCGGAAGTGGGGAGCGGACCCTGTCGTGGAGCAGGACCCAGAGCTTGCCCAGGTGCCCAAGCGTGTGGTCTTCGAGAGGCCCCAGGACCACGAGTTCCTTTTCTGCCAGAGGTTGTCGGAGTATCGGTGTCGACGGTGCAACCGTGTCGCTCGAAGTGCGAGTACCCTCCAGACTCTTCGCTCGGGAGCTGATCGGGTGTGTGCTCCCTCGCCTCTGGTCCAGAGCCTTGCCGAGGACTTCTTCCTGCGGAGTTCTGAGGCGTGGCTTAGTGTTTCGGACTCTAGGGTCACGGCGGCCATCGAGGCGGCCGATAGGATGTTGGGGTCCACGTCTCGGCCTTTGGAGGCCTCCTCGGGGCTCGGCGCGGTTCCCCCTCGGCCGCTGGAGCAGGTGTCTGCTGCCAGTGGCTCGCCCGACGTTCCCCAACCTGTGCTTGCCGAATTCGCTGAATTGGGGCATGACGTTTTCTGTGTTAATTCCGTGTATTGCTGCCGCAAGTGCGGGGGCAATTTCAACGGGTCCGAGTCCTTCAGGTCCGCCCGCAAGCTGCGGGCGTCGTGCCAAGGGTTCTCGGAGAATCCAAAGACTAGGGCGAACCAGCACACGGCGATCGACCGAATCACCCGTGGCTTGGAGCCCCGCCAGCGTGGGGCAGGTGCGGCGCGTTCTGGCCCGAACCCTGCCCCCTAGTTTTGCTCTTTGGACTCTGGCCTGGGAGGTTTTTGGGTGTGGTTTTCCTGAGGCGTCCCACCCTCTCCCAGGCTTCCGCCTTCCCGCCACCCCTGTGGCTCTCAGGTCTCACACGCGGTTGGTGTTCGTCACTCGGACGCCTCTCCTGCGGCTCGCTCGCTCGCTCGCTCCTCCTCCTCCTCCTCCTCCTCCTCCTCTTCGCGATTCACAGAGCCCTGCGAGCCGCCCCCTCAAGCTTCACCAGAGCCGCTCTTTTCTCGCTTGGTGGATGGGGAGGCCTTGCTGTGCCTCCGAGAGTGCAGGGGCACCTAGCTGCGACGCTGCGGAGAGCGGCGACGTCCACCGCACGAGGGTGGCGAGCTGCGCACAGTGCTCCAGAGGCTACCGCGCAGGACCACCTGGAGCCGACTCGCTTCGCAGCCGGCAAGCGGTTTGCACCGTTCTGGGCCGACGAGCGCTCGATCACACATGCAATCTCTTCTGCGCACTCGGCAGCAGCGACTTCGTGGGGGGGAAGGGCCCGGTGCACAAGCGGCACGCTCGTGCGCATGGCGGCGTTGGGGCCGTCGATTGCCTTCGCCGCCGCGCCCGCCGCACTGCCGCCATGCACAGCACACGTGCTCCGGCCGCCCGCGCAGTGGCACGCCCCGCCCCTTGGACCAGCAGGGGAAGCGCAACGCCCGGGGTCGGACGTGGCTGCTGAGGACCCCAGCGCCAGTGGGAAGACGCCGAGCCCCCAGCAGGTATATTTGCGCACTCTGACCAGCCGCTTCTTCTCCGACGAGCTCGAGCTGACCATCCGCAAGAGGCTTTCGGCTCGGTTCCTGGTCTTCAGGTGCATGTCCCTGCAGATCTTCGGCGCCTTTGGCGTGCTGCTCGCGAGATTCTGCAACGACTCCCACCGTCTAGAGTATGGCCGATACTGAAAACACTGGCGGGGAGTTGGACTATTTATTTTCGCATGCACGTGGTGCCAGAACAGCAGACATGCCGATTCAACTGCTACCAGTGCGACGACTCCATTGACCACTACATGGCACCTTGTGGCGCTGCCCCGCGGTGTGCTTCATGAAGATATTCTGGCTCGGCTCGGACTCGGATCAGAGCATCAGCATAGTAGGAAAAACGCTCGATTGGAATGTTGCCGTGACGCTTCGCTTGTACCACCATTCCACAGATCACGACATTCAGAGTTACGACGCACATGCCGCTGCCGTCCCAGCAGTTCGAGCTGCCCTGAGGCTTCGCGGGGGCCTGGCGTGTGGCGCCAGGGCATCGGCGGCATGATTTGGCGCGTCTCTCATGGGGACGTTCGCTCCTCCTCCTCCTCCTCCTCCTCCTCCTCCTTCTCCTTCTCCTCCTCCTCCTCGTCCTCCTCCTCCTCCTCCTCCTCCTCCTCCTCCTCCTCCTCCTCCTCGTCCTCCTCCTCCTCCTCCTCCTGCCCCGCCTCTCGTCCTGGCCGCCAGCCCCCCCCCC